ATTCTGATGAGTGGGGCACATTATACTTCCATGTGATTTCTGTGCGGTTGGTCTCTACGTGACATACTTAGTGGAGACCTTATAGAAAGCGGTGAGTGTGCAAAGCTGTGTTCAATGTGATTGAAATCTTGGTTTAGAGTTTCTTTGTTTGGTTATGGAGGCGTCTGGCCAAGTAGATTGCTGTCAACTTGACCTTTCCAGGCTCTGAGGAAGGCGAAATCCGCCGAAACGTCAGCTCATTCGTGAATAAAGAATAATAACACCTCGCGTTTGCNAAATACTCCGCTAGGCACGCATAGGACCCAGAGACATAACGGGGAGGACTTTGAAGTATGTGTCACGATCCTTGCACGCGAATCAAGAACACAGGCGCGAAAAACTCTCGAGGCACTCTGGATTAATTCCAGAAATCCGAAAATGAACCGCAGGGAAGAATGCCTCATTATCACGCGTGATGTAGGGCAGTATATAAGACTGCTATTCTGATGAGTGGGGCACATTATACTTCCATGTGATTTCTGTGCGGTTGGTCTCTACGTGACATACTTAGTGGAGACCTTATAGAAAGCGGTGAGTGTGCAAAGCTGTGTTCAATGTGATTGAAATCTTGGTTTAGAGTTTCTTTGTTTGGTTATGGAGGCGTCTGGCCAAGTAGATTGCTGTCAACTTGACCTTTCCAGGCTCTGAGGAAGGCGAAATCCGCCGAAACGTCAGCTCATTCGTGAATAAAGAATAATAACACCTCGCGTTTGCTCAACCAAAAATACGAAGAATTACTTGATCAATGCCGAGGTTAATAGAAAGTCGGTCGTGGGAGTTACAAAACTCTTCCTTAAAACTTAGAAGCGACGCGTGATTTTGACATCGTAAACCATGAAACGCAACAACTCAACACTAAGGACAATGAGTCAACAAAACGCTTAACTGTTGTGGTGAGGAACGAATGCCACGTTCGTAAACACGGCCTATGTATAAAAGCACATTTTTTGTAGACAAATCTTTATTTCTAATTTTCTATCTTCAGTGATACTAAAACTTTCTGCAAATTTAGTGAACTATAGATTTTTGAATAAATAGGTGTGAGAAGAGAAAGACTATCACATAGAATTACAAACACGATACATCACAGTGTCAAAGGACAAATTCCGGTCTTAGACTTTATTTATTAAATAGCGTGAAGCAGAGACGAAAACCCGTCAGAGCTAGTAAGCGGGCAAGTGAAACTGGAAATAAGCACCTTTCAAGAACTTAGAGGTAGTGCCTCACACTTCTGACATCATCCTTACGAATTCTTCGTAGCCAATCTCACCGCTGCCTAAATCTGATGATCATTACGGTAGTACTTCCTCCATTGTGCAACTTTCGGAAACTATAGAGAATTCCTCTATCAGATAGAGAAATTTCTATCTACCTAGCAAACACATTCTATAAGCCGATAGAGACTGCATTTGCCACAACGCCCACGCTCGTGCCCTATACCCACAACCCATTCTAGCCATTGGGTACGCCACTAGACACAGCATCTTGCAGCCATTATTAACACCAACAGGTATGCTATTGGGTTCGTCTTATTGCTTGGAGACTTGCCCCCGCGACCCGAGCCTTGACCCAACGACCAACGCCACGCGCTTGGACGTAACCGCGCCCACTAACACCGTCATTTGGCTTCTGAAGACGCCTTGGAGATTTCCCTACCGCCTAATCTTTCTTTACAAATTCATTTGCTTAGGTTGTAATGATATTAACTGTAATCCTTAGCTCCTGCATTGCTAATGCATTAATGTTATCGTCGATTCTCATGTAATAACGTTGTGTTGTTAACATAAATTAAATTCCTTCATTGCTCACAAGTACTTTACAAGCGATTCTTCACTCTTATTCACTCCCGTGAACACCTGCCATATTGTTGCGCTGCGAGCCGTTACAGAAACTTTATCAAAAACTTTCTCTAAATAGGTTCTATGTCATTAGCTATTAGTACTCAGAAGTAAAACATTAGGAAATAAGTGAGAAGAAAGACGTATGTAAAATTTCAAGTAAACAGATAAATAGTTACTATAGCGAAAATTAGGTGAGCAAGTGTGGTTGTATTTCCTTTAATGCCCTGCCATAAAAATTATAGAAGGCAGAAAATAAAAAGTAAACATTGTGAATTCAACTGCAGCCTCAGCTTAACTGGGTTCAATGCCGATGTGGGCTCTCCAGATCAGTCCTGTTGACGGGTAATTGCTGAAAAGCTCGATAGAACTAGCTGAGAGAAAGGCGAAACGAAGGACCTGCATTGTGTGGTGGTGAACGCGTTACTCCCCGGAAAGGACAATGGAGCGTTCGTTCCCCACCGCAGACCTACGGTCCGGAGTTTTGCAAACATCTCAGCAATCTTGTGGTTGTATTTGCTTAATACCCTGCCAAAAAAATTGTAGAAGGCAGGGATTAAAACGTGACCACGATTGAAAAATTTTTGTAATTACACTGCTTTGAGAGATTAGAACTTTAAAGATTTAGAAATGTTACTATGTCATATCGCTATAAGGATTAAAAGTGATAAAAAGGATAAAGTTCTCAACATTAATCAATTCCTTAGGGATGCGCCGACTTCAATAGGCATCGTTGGAGATTATTGAATGCAAATCCGTCCTTTACAATGACAATGACTCACAGTGGTCTACCGATGCATCGAACCAGTGCTATCATCCTCCCAGACAAATCTGTTAACAATTTACCGTCCCCACAGGGATGGAAGCCGAATAAGCAGACCATATTGAGCGGCCGTAATAGATCAACAGACCTGCGGTTCGGAGTTTTGTATTTCGCTTAATACTCTGCCACAGAAATTATAGAAGGCAAAAATAAAAAGTAAACATTGTGAGCAAGTAGTATTCATCGGACCATTACGGGAAGAAATTCTTACAAATGTATGTTGGAAGCTCAGACTGACCGTCAGAATCCACTTCCTTGATCATCTCATCCACTTCTTCTTCGCTGAACTGCATTCCCATGTGTATCTACAATGAGGAACTTTACTGAACCTAATGAAAAGTTCAACATGGAAATTTCTGTGGTACCATTTTGTTATCTTGTGAAGCTGTGAATAAAACAGTGTTTTACTAGTTTCTCACAGTGCTGATTCCCTTCTCTCTGTGTTAGATAACCTCATACCAACTGCTGCTGGATGGATTATCCGTTGAACAACAAATTATCAGTGAATGCTCATAACAACAATCGTCCTGTCATTAGAGCGATACGCCACTGAAGTAAATTCGCTTTGATACGAAGACAAGGACACCACATGGTGAAGACGAACGACTGTGGACATACTCGGACTCGGATTATCGGTTCTAAGGAAAACGTAAACATAGAAACGTTAGCCAAATAAAACTGTTTGTCAACTTCATGGTAGCTTAATAAACTAGAAAATTCGCGCTGATTTGCAAACACTGCTTAGAACCAATGCTATGCTGATCAGTAATTCTTGGTAGCAACCCCACATCGATTTATTTGCAGCAGTTTTTGGACTCAGCATGTTCATGGTGTTCAATCGATAGACCCAGGAGAGGGAAAAAATAGTGGTTCGCTCTGGCCCGGACCCAAGCTTTGCGAATATCTCAGCATCGTTGTGGTTGTAACTCACATCATACCCTGTCGTGAAAAGTTATAGTAAGCAGAAAATAAAAGGTTAACCGTGAGATATAGATCAGTCGAGGGAAATTTTTCATCCTGTGTAAGACCTTTTTCCAAGCATTATATAGAACGAAAAATTTACGAAATTGCAATCACATTCCTGTCTGTCTGCATATTTATTCCTCGGAATCTGCCGCGCAGACCCGTTGACAGGCACTGCAGAACTCACCATGAAATGCCTGAATTCGGATGCCGTGATCAATCCATTTCCGTCCTTGTCAAACACCCGAAACGCCTCTCGAATCATCTCTGAATCGCTTTCCTTCATCATCCTGAAATCGGAGCTCTTCCTTAAGCTCATAATTAAGCTTATTAAAGGTATCCTTCCAACGCAAATCACTAAGTTTGGACATGTATTTAAGTTAGCAACTACAAAATATTTGTTAACAAACGAATAATGGTCAATAGTCTCGTAGTTATACCAACACCACTTCATAGTTAATCGAGATAATAGATAATTGAATACTCGTTACAGACATTAATACTATTGTTGCTAGTTGCTATAAGTTTTCAAAGTGATGCCAAATTACGGGGTAGGAGAAGTTGAGATTTGAACAACATCACTCAAATTTGCAACCGACTTGCATAACAGTTAAGCCAGACTGGAGCTAACGTTAGGCCAACTCTACTCGAATTATTTGTCATTAAAGAGGAGGATGGACAATTTGACCTACACCTTCTAAATTTAAGGGAACATATTCATGGTTCTGTGGATATTTTAGTCTTTTTGAAAATTGCATTTTACAAGTTAGCCTTTAACGGAATGACTGGGAGGTATATGACGGCTGGTTAGGAGACGCTTTGAGCAAACAAGCTCCATATACACTCTGTGACAGACTGGCAAACTACCTGTGGATACTCCAAGCCTTCTCACCGGGGCTCAGTGAACTACCTGAGCTAGGTATCAATCACCGGAGATAGTAAAGTAAACGAGCCTAACCACAAATGAACCCTCGGTGGGACAGTTTTGGGTAGGACAAGTACAGACGGGCTCGTGAAACCTTGGAGCCATTTCAATCTTAGCCTTAATCTGAAAGCTGACAATCTGTAACTGCAATATGCGCACAGTGTTTTTAAATCCTCCATTGAGAATATGACGATGAAGATTAAGTAGATCATGTAAGACACTACCGGATTGTATAAAAGGAGAAGTCGCCAGTATTAAATGGCAGAGAGCACTTAACATCACTTATAATGACGGCCAAGAACTGTTCATGCGAGAACAATTTAGCTAAGAACATTATTTCTTTAAATAACTAAACCCAAGAATAGAGTCTTTGTCGTGAATAGCTCAACTGAACATGTCTCAGAAACAAGGCACAGCCGTTCTACATAGAATTACTAAACTCCTGGAGAAGGTTAGCCCGTTTATAAGGCCATCACTGGGAAACTGAACAATAAGACTGTCACAAGGAGAACGTTTCAAGAATACGCAATGGATGGTAGCAATAACCACATTATTGATCATAAAGAAAGAGTACATCCTAATAAAATGAAGGTTTTGTCAAACAGCCTGCTGTCTCAAAATTTTACACAGGATCGGACCACCGCTTCCTTCTCGAAAGCTCCCATTTTTTTCAGAAAAGAGAGAAAGCCGCAAAATTCAAGGAACGAAGTCTCAAATAAGGTGCGATATCGTTAGCCGGATTCTAGGTAGGTACTGTTATCAACTACATCAAAGAACTATACGTGCGCCTTATCCAATGTATTTACACTGGTGGCAAAACAATGGAGAATTCAGGATTTACCGCAGACGTCTGTCTCAAGGAATGCTTGAGATAGCACACCACCATGGAAACCCACGAGCCGCAGGCAGACGCCATGTCACATTTGAACTTGCCAAGCTCTACAGAAACGTGATACGTGCAGGGAGAAGAGTTGCAGTTACAGTCGAAGCTGCAAAGGCTGGAAAGAGTATTCCATTATCCGCGGGAACCTCACTGCTTAGAATCCTGAAAGAATTACGACGCTCAGACCGAACACGCACGGCCAGAAAATCGGTGGAAAAAGTCGTCTATGACTATTCTGATTCTTTAGCAGCAATTTTTAAAAACATTGGTTATGTGTCATCCTATAGAATCCCCTCCGAAGTCCAACATATTATTTCGTCTGTGAAGAATCGACCAACAGCTGACTCGAACAGGATAAGATCTGAACGCCCGAAGGGGCTTCTGGCAGTCCTCATTACCACACTGGTTCAGCTCATCTCACGTTCATGAATAAAACAGTAAAGCTCTGGACGTCGACGAATCTGTGAGGGATGCAGTTGAATACATATCTTACCTATGCATTGACTTGTGGTGGTTTACCGTTGCATCGATTACTGCTGTTTACAAACCATTCGCTTAAGTCGTCTTCGACAGTGTTGACACTCAGTTGAAACAAAAGCGATCATGAAAACTCGAGGCAGCCACTTAGTTCCATACGCAAAGATTCTTTGTGAGCTATATAGCAAATTCATATTCAGAGCTTCGCCATTCTACAAAAACATTAACATTGGCACCAAGATAAAGGCTCGACAAAGCGATACGATCCGTCCAAAACTATTTAAAGCCAACTTAGGGATGCAAAAGTGAGATGACACAACATCGTAGTAGAAGTCGGTAATCGGTGATTACCCCATGTTCACTCTGCTTATCACATCATTGTTGTATCATTAAGCATTATCCTAACAAAATAAAGATGGCCAATTTCGATAGCGTTTCCCAAAAGATTGCCTTTGGAGTGAAACTCAGGAACATAATGTCCATCAACAACGGAACTGGTTCTAGTATCCAACTCGAGCTTAACGGTCATCAATATTGCCGATTACTACACCTTTGCGTATTCGGGTTGAGACGTCAACATGACGAACGAACGATCCGAATTTGAGCAGAAGGACGCGAGCAACTTGAGGAGCTTTCAAGAGCGTCGAAGATATGAAGACGAAAATGAAGAGTCCATTCTGTGCCCACATTATCAGCTCTACGATTCTTCTTGCCTTGACGTACGATGAGAAACGTGTTCGCAACGCGATCAGCATGAAATGTAGCTCAGCGTAATCGAATCGGTAGTCGAGAAGGAGACGTTGTTAGTATCCGTTTCACGCAGTTTAAAGGGAAAGTCCGAAGTTCCCACTTACGTCAACGAAAAAAATCAGAGAAACCACGGTGCATGGCAAATTTCGAAACTGGAGATGGGATGCTTGTGAATGACCACCTGTTAACAACAGTTATTAACGATAAGCTCCTATGGGATGTTAGGCGCTCATCGAAATAAGAACCTATCCGATAATCGCGGTTATTTAAGAAGATAGTGGAATAAAAATATTATAGTAAGCCCTTAGAGTGAACACAATCTACACGGGTGCTCCTGCACCTAACAGGCATAATTAATGACTTGGTTGTCGCTTGCTCAAGGCAATTAATAAGCCAAGGAGATTTGTCACTTTTCAAACAGGTTGCTACCAAGACGGTGGTGATTCCTTGCACTATTACGATATGGAAAGAACCTTTGTGAAAGAAATAGCCAAGTAAGAATTAGTGCCTGTGTTTAGGTAAAGCTTTGCTTTAGACAAAAGGAATAAAGCGTTCGGCGTTCATCAATCCCTGAATAACGTGCCATGCATTCGAGTTCATGAAGAATTACAGAGGTAACTGGACGTAAAGCCGATTTATGCAACTGCTGGCGGTAGTCTAGCGATGTATCAGTTCATGCTAATTTGCCGACTCCAGTAAGATGGAAGGCGTTGTGAGCCCTGTGCGTGATATGAAAACAACGATAACGTGTTTCATGCAGGAATCGCCAAGATGCACAGACGTCTATTTCAATCTATCTTCTTTAGAAAAATAGTCTTTTGATTATTCTGTCTTACACACCCGCTTTAAGACCTATTAAAGTACGTGCAACACTTTTCAGCCTTTCATGCCAAGAGCACTGAGAAATCGGCTTCGAATCCCTGAACGAGCTAAAAATCCAGCAATCGATCGATATTGAGTCTAATGAACACTCACCGCTTCATCATCACACAGAATTCAGGGAATTCTACTTGACCGTTGCCGTCCATGTCGACGTCGTTGATGATCTCGAGGATTTGCTGCAATTCCTTCTAATCACTGCCATTTCTCCACTTTATGGAGTTCTAATCTCTCATTTACCAAACAACACGTCAATCTACCTTTATTTTGATATGCACGTTCGCAGAACTATTAGTTTTATCGACGTGAACGAAGCTCACCGCATTTTACAGGCCTCTGCCAAAAAGAAGCAAATTTCACTGTTGTCTTTAAATAGCTCATTTGCTTTGCTGCTCTGAAGCTTGTATTTAGGACAAAACAGCGATGGAACAAGCGGGATTTTGTCCAGTAGGACGAGATGATGTTTCCAAATTTATAGTTGATATCTACGGCTGCTGAACTTTCATCAGAAGTCGCAAAAACTAGGTTTTTAGATTTCGCCTCCCATGCTAAACAATGATATAAAGAATTGTTCGATCAATGCCGAGGATAATAGAGTGTCGGTCACGTTGAGTTTGTAAAAGTACAACTTAAAAACGTAAAACCTATTGATGTTTTTTTTAAAATACTGAACGATAAATAATTAAGGCGGTTGGACAAAGCCGTTTATATTAATGTTCTACAATCTCAACTCAGCACGGTACTATAGTTATCGAGAAATTGTAAAAGAGCCATCAAGAAGCGACCACCATCATAAATTTTTGAACTGGACCTCTGCTGTTAACCACTGGAAAGCAAGTTTTGTAGTATTGACATGAACCGTTTTCCGCTGTTTGAGGTGTGGGTTTTCCGTTCAACTGGAGTGGGTGCCTTATCTCACTGCTCCTTGCGTCCCGCACCCATTACATTTTTGCACTCTCGAAGGGTTACATTCTCAGTGAACAGAAACTTCACAACGAGCACAGAACCTAATTAAGTTTTACTTTTTCGAGTTAATGCCATCACTTATCATCGCAGAGTTGTCGAGGCTCTAGTGCGACGATTCACGTTATTTTTAAGAGTAGCATTTTCAGGCACACTTTCCACGCGTCCATCTAGCTGGAGATGAAACCGAGAGAAGTCCAGCATTTCTAACAGAGTTTTATGACTCTTATAGTAATTTTAAAAATCTTAAACAGTAGAAATCTTTTTGTATTCCCGCATTTTAGACAGAATAACACATTGAATGAGCCCAACAAACTAGACACGGAGGATTTGATACAGACTTCCTGTACAGAACGGGAACGGTCAACTACGAGAAACTGTTTGGTATACAGCTGCGGTCTTATCAGCTTTCATTAATTAAATGTTTGAACATTCTGCACAAGAACTATCACCAGAGTGACGGCAGCTGAACCCCCACACTAAAGGTTTTAACCTTATTCGAATAATAAAGCGAATCCGATATATTAAGAAAAATTTGTAGAAGTTCTTCATCGATGTTATCGCATTGTGAAGCAGTTCGAATGGGACAGAAATGAAACACATATTGATCGACGGAAATTTTTTCTAAAACGTTCGTTGCTCAAAGACTGTATAGAGGAGGAAAAAGGATATAACTGTGCTGTAAAGAGAGGGGAGAAATTGAACACCCACGCTATGAAGGCAAATAGATCAACATGAATTGCGGGGCCACATCAAATGCGCGAGGGCACCGATTAAGCTACAGATCCACAAGTTCTCTTCACCTTTTTGACTTAACCGTGTTCCGACTGCTTTGGCCCCACTACGCTGTGGATTGTTGGAAAAGAACAGGAAGTTAGGGAGTGCGAAACATACGAAGTCAATCGGTCCATGTACGAATTCTAACTGCTAACTATTTTTGTATTCTTCACCGAGTCTTCTTGAATTTTCATTTCCTTCAGTACCTTTATTAAATATACATGCTACTTATTTTTTACTTGGCAATTTCCGCTCTCATAAGTTTTACAAGTCCTTGTTGTTTTGTTGATTTTTCAACTAAGAAAAGTTGCGTCGTTTTCTAAATTGGATGCGATGATTAGAACAACTGAATTTTTTTTCCTGGAGTGTTAAATCACAGCAGAAAAAATAAGAGGTTAGTTACACTTGCAGGTCTAATACCAGTTTATCAGGGACACTCTCGAAAGCCAGTTTTCACTAACTTGTTCGGTGGGATTTTGGCCGAGTGCTCTCATCGCAATTCCCAATTCCTTAATAGAAATCGTACCATTCCCATCTTTGTCGAACAGTAGAAAGGCTTCCTTGAACTGGTCTATCTCTTCTTCATTGAGCTGTTTGATTACCTGAAACGAAACGGAAATGAAAAATGAAGGACATATGAAGATAATATCAAAGTAAGCCAAAGTATGTGCTTCAGCAATGCGGTTAATATGACAGAGTGTAAACTTTTACTACGTTGTGGACAAAAATTGCCCACCAACCAAATGACCTTACTAATTTGTCAGTTGTATAACTCTAGAAGCAAACACCTGCTCTGATTCCTCAAAGATCGCTTGTAACGTACGCGTTTGCGCGCTCATCGCGACCGCCTTTCTCTGGAATTATCTTATTGCAGTCAAAGGATGAACCTATGCTATTCTTCTCCAAAAACATAATTATGACCTCACCAGTGAAAGGAGCACTCCATGCAGGCGTGTTTGAAAATCCGTAAAAAGATTTCCTTTTACCTTCATTGGCTTCAGAAAGCCAATGCATTAAAGTCCCCAGCTTCTCCTCGTTTTTCATTTTGCTCCCAAATTTGTATCTCAGTCCAGACCTAACTTTCACTTTCCGAGGCTGGATGTCTTTTCTCTTGCACTTGGCAGTTCTTTGGCTTCGAAAGAAATTCGGACGATTTTTATATGAGTAATGAGGCAAGAAATTCTCTGTGTGCTTAAAAATATACTTACGTAAAAACTTTTACATAAGGGATGTGAAAGGAAAACTTTAAAATGTCAACAACTTTATGACACCAGAATAACTTTTTCTAAGCATAGTTTGAAGGTCAAAGGGTTTAAGATGTCATCGGCATTCCTTGTATGATTACATGATTTCAAAACTACTTAGGTGTTGAAGAAAAAAAGGCACCCAGGGAGAAGAATTGAAGAAATAAAAAAAAAACTAAAGAGTCGTCTAAAGAAATAGGCAGATATTTGAAGGCTGCATAGGACGGTTAAGGCAAACGTTGCAAGTTCAACAAAACGGCAACGCGGCACCAGTTCGGAAGGCCGGCAAATGATAATGGAGGATTAATTTCCAGTGGCGTTCCAGTCGAGGAGACTCAGTACGACCACAAAGATCCAAATCGCGAGGGCAAAGGAATTTGGATTATTGACTCAGATTATCGCTGCTCCGACAAGGATGAGGATGTCGAAACGTTAGCTGGATAAATCTTGATACCAACCTTGTATCAGTTTATTGGAGGAGAAAGTAGACTTGAGTAGAGAAGTAGAGGTAATGAAAGAGAGGAATGTGTGTTGTGCCACATTACGTCTTTCAGTTGATTCCTTTTCTAATAACCATTTTCTACTAATGAGGAATAGTTTCCTGCAAAAGAATTCTTCCAGAGCGGTAGTGATTCCGACGATTAGTCAACCGATCAAACGAAGACGATATTACAAATCAAATTCATCCAGAAGCACCAAAGTTCACAGATATTCTTTTAATGACGTTTATGCAGCGATCATCGACAGCTCACTGAGGAAAATTTTTGCCACTGCAACAATAGTGTACAAGAGAACATGTAACTTATTGAGCTAAAGAGATTTGAAAGAAGAGAAGGTGGGAGCGAAGCGATTAAAAACATTCAAATTTCACTTTGTGATTTATTTACCGCCGATGTTTCCCTATTATCTTTTTTGCAACGAATTTAGATAAATATAAAAGCGTCGCTCGAAAAGGGTGAAAAAATGAATGAGTGAAGTTGAAAAGGGAGTTCAGAGAAAATGAGTCTCCTTTTACAAAATGAGACTTCTCTGACATCATCACGCTTTTTGTTGAAATAGACCTGTCATGCGAAGTTTAGGAAATATTTTAGCCTCAGCAGGGTGAACTTGCTGAACTCTCGAACGCTTTTTACGAAAAGCATTACACGAAAGTCGGAATGTCTTCGGATTTTCATCCTAACATCAAGAAGACAAAGTGGTGTTCATGCGGCAAGAGACTCGGACCTCCTGCACTTTCAGCCATTCACATTTTCACAGGCAACTCACAGACCTTCCTTGCTCTTCCTGTCCACGGTGTTTGGTCTTGAGACCTGTTTAACTACGCGAGTGCAATCGATACCATCGAAAACGTCTTCAGTTTCCAATGATTGCTTTGATAGTGCGAGTTTAAACGGTTCTAATAGCAACAGATCGGCCATGAGAGCCACTCCAAATTTTAGGAAAAAAAACAACACTGCGTCGTTTTCTTCCTCAGCAATCGCGGAGTTGTCATACAGAATATGTTTACTCAACTCAGCCATATGCGACTCCGATAAGCAGTTCTTCCTCAGTGTAAGGCAGGTAAAAACAGGTCTGAAGAAGGCGGTACTGCCGAAACGTCAACTACTGCTGTGTTGCATGTGTGTTATTGTATGGAAGTAAACGTAGGTTAATAGAGAGTCGATCCTGTG